GAGATCTAGGCTTGTCTTATCTTGCAGTCTGAGACAGACTGTGGCTCAAAAAGTGCAGAAGCAAAAATTTAAAAACAAAATACGAGCGAGTGAAATGCAAAAACCCAGTTATACACCCAAAATACACCACAAAGGGCCAGAAGAACATGTAACTACAGCTGCCGCATGGGTAAAGCACACGGCAACAGAAAGAGGGATAGCTTAGCGTCTGAAAATGTGGTATCCATAAAGCTCAAGTCAATGGCAACATTACCACTGGCCACAGCAGAGTCCAGGTTTCCTCCAATATGCTCTAAATTTACTCTTGGCTGTATATTATAGCATCCAAATAAAACCCAGTGGTGTGCAAACATACGTAAGGGCACGGCCTAGTCCAAGCGGCTGCAGTGCTGCTATAGGTTACATCCGTGCTGGGGCTACACTTCATGTTCACTGCAATAGCCCAGCTTTTGGGTAGCACAAGTATTTTCACATCATACTTTATCCTTCTTGACCAGCCTTTGATGTCAGTTCTCATTTTAGGCTTCCTGTGAGGGGTGAACTGAGATCTATTTGGATAAAACTATACATTGTGGGTGCCATCACAGTACCTGTGACCTTTCAAAATTGTATGTTGGGATTGCAGGGTCCATCTGTGCCATCTCCACTTCTCCTGCCATTCCCTACTGTAGAATTGGAGCCCAAGCCCTTGTCTTGAAACCCTGGCATTACCTCCAACGTTTAGAAAGGCCACAAAGGAAAATGTTTTGTCAGAGGAAGTGAAAAAGCAGCCCACAAAGACTAACCATTACCTCACTATGATAAATTGCAGTTATTGATATTAAAACTTGGACTTTGGAGGAAACTTAATGTCGTAGGAGTTTGACAGTGCATTTGGAAGAGTGCAACAAAATAGTCGTTTCATAGGTGAAGTTGGTACATAAACCTCTGAAAGTAGCCACTCAGACTTTTTAAACACGATTCCACAGTACTAATTAGATGTATTATCTTTACAGGAAAAATATACCCACAGAACCTGTGAGCTACTTCTAATGATGACTTGTGTTCCTTCTGTCGAACTGCTCACGGTACAGACTCGCTAGCACTAATGCTGACACTGTGATTTTAAAGTTTCTCCTGTTGTCCTCTGCTGATGCAGAAATGAGCGCTCTCAGAGTCTGATTGTGCTATTCCAAAAAAAGGCTCTTCTCTTATTAAAAACAGAAGCTTTCATTCTCTCTCGAGGCCTGATATTTATGATCAAGCATTTCATGCCTACTTCTCTTGCCCTAATTCTGGTCATTTGCAACAATGCTGGTGTTAAGTGACTATGAAACCCTAGTCTCTAAAGTAATCAGATTTTCAGGCCCTGTGCCCTACGTCACATGGAATCATTTATTGCAGTACAATAGGAAATAAGGCCACTGCGCATAACAGTGTTTCTGGGGGGAGAAACGTTGCTCATTGCTGAGTAACAGTACACCCAGCTGATTATAGGTTGTAAATTGTGCCTTAGGAATCAATGGATTTTTGCATTTAGAATAAGCAGACCAGAGCGGGAAAGACCAAAGACTACAGAGAGAAAATACGCTCCCACTCAAGCACCTGGAAGCACATGGAAGTGTTAACTTCCCACATCTGGCTGATATGGGGCAGCTGAACCAGTCTTGGGAGCTGGGATGAGCTGGGCTATGAGGAACAGGCAAGGCTCCATCACTGACTAAGAGCCCAGTGAGCTGCTCAGTCCCTTCTTCCCACATAAAAACCTCACAGCTCTGCTATCAGCCTCAGCTTCTCCTTGTACCAAGCATCTGCTGTGACTTTGACACACAAATAATAGAGAGGTTCAACAGCAGATGGTTAAGCCGAACCACGTAAGAGCCGTGGACTAGTTGGATTGTTGCAGCTTGTTGTATTAAGT